GTGATAGTTATTGTTTTTTTATTGCCACACAAATTAAGTATATATAAACAAAATGCATTAAATATTAATTTAATATTATTTATAAACATAAAATATTATTAAAAGTCAAAAACATTTGTTCAATAATAGCGCATAATAGCGATTAACTTATACGAAATATTTCATAACAGTTCATATAAAATGTAAAACAAACAATCAAATGAATTATCATATAATAATCTATATACCAAATCACATCATAGCATAGGTTACATTTCTATTATATATCAGTATATAGTGGTATACATATTCTTTTGGGTTTTCTACCAAACCTTGTAGTAATATAAATATCAAATATTATTCCAATAATTATCGTGCTACGTACAACCCACAGTAAGATTTAATTCTTTATGATTACAATATATCAAATCATGGTATACATTTTAAATATTTTGTGTAACGCTTCATACATTTATAATTAGAATGAGTAAAACCAATGTTTAAGTCTTAAATTAAGTATTTAAGTATATATATATACAATACAAGTGTTATAAACTATAATCTAATAAGTGAATATAGCCATTATTTAAAAATGTTGAAGTTATAATTTTCTATGGCTCATTAATAACGATATGTTTATGATTATTATATTAGCCATTGGGTTATGAAGATGTTAAAAATGGTCGTCTGGCGTAGACTTGTTTATATTGTTGAAGAAACACTTCGGCACGCACCAAAGTATATAGCACCATAATGCATGTATGTATATAGTAAATAATAATATATAGCTACATACGGTAAAACTACCCCTCCCGGCTATTGAAAGCCACTTGATTGTGTACGGATTGACACCGAACGAAGATAACGGACAACGTTTATAGAGTTTATACTTTATACATACATATTATAAAAAATATAGAATAAAAACATATTATTATTAATTATTATAGCTAATAAACTATATGGTGTGTAAAAATAAAGTAATGAGCGTGGGTTCTCATACATGAACGCGGTCTCGGTTGGTAAACCATTCCCACGGGGCCCTTATAATGCACACTACCTATATAATATATTATAGCATATATTATATTTCCACCTTGGAACCCTTACGTTTTCCTACGAGAAAAATAATTTCTGTTTCCTTGGCACACCATTGTTAGCGTGCGCACACGCCGGAACATTGGTCGTAAGTCGAAATTTTGGATTACCTACAACACTATATATAGTTGCTAACCACCACTCCATCTGCAGTGCATGTCTATTAAGAGATGTATCTATTTATGATTTCCACTCTTCGTCGAGTTTTATCATTGCTGTTATTATTATATTTTTTTTTCAAAATAAAATCGTTAGCAATATAAACGGCCAATTGTCACGTCATTCTACCCTAGGGATCACACCACGCTGGCCCCCAATGGGCCGGAACCACCGAACCGTGTTTCCTACTTCCTGCATGTCGCCCGAAAAATAACTCATCGTGCAATGCCGTGTCAACCACAATGATTTTTTTCTAAAAAAATGTTTTAGGTAACTAGGTTACGACCATTGCATTATTGAATTTACGAGGATAAAATAATTTAAATGGTTTTTTTTTCAAACAATATTTTTAAGCTAACAAATTAATAATAATATACGGTTTCAGTCACGATGTTTTAAACATTGGCTAAGTTACTTATTTAAAAATTAAATAATACAAACATTATATAACGATATAACGATATCATCCATGAGTATTACTCAAAGCACCGAAAAAATTATGATTGAGTATAATATATTATATTAGGTATATAACATTAAGAACACTTAACTTATACTAAATAGTATACCACATTTAAATAGTTCAATATACTTGTCTTCAGTAGCCTATGCATTTCTGAAATTCCTTAAAAGTGTACTATCTATTGCAATGCACCTACTAGTCGTTTTTAAAATTGTATGTGTTCAAACTTAATTATATTTATCATAGATACCTACCTAGTTCAGAATTTGAACGAAAAAATTTGCAAAAACAAAGTTATATGCAATTGTTGCAATTTATTTTGCGCAAAAGCAGGTGCCTATATAATACTTTAATGTGTGTTTATTGCTACACATATGTTATTTTAACACGTCATACAGGCATGCGGCTCTTATTAAATGTTTGCTTTAATATACAACGCATATAATATTATTATGTACCTGTACACTATTTACAATATTTACCTATTCAGGAAAAAGTTTAAATACAATTCACAACATAGTACCTATACGCACTCAAAATTGGTCAATAATTAATTAATTTTGTTCCAGTTTAATTTATAATACTTTAATTTTTAATTCATATAAAAACTGTTAAGAATGATCTTGCACTTATGCGTAAGTGATGGCAGATACTATGGCTTATTTTAGTTTCATTATTTTTGACACATTTTTTTTTTGATTTTGGACATTTACCATTTATAATCAATTGCAAAAACTAATTATAATTTTTTTTTCTCATTACGATATTTTTTCAATCACCAAAACTCATCAATACGCGCGCCTGACACCATATTCAGGCGTGCTCATTTGGATACGGCAATGACTTACGAATTTTAAAAATGTTATGCATCAATCAAAAATGTAGGTATACCTACTTCTACTGGACACTTGCCCAGCTTTGAATTTGCAAAACAGCACACGTATACGTAGACACGAATAACTCAGAATTTATTACATCAAATGTGCGTAAAATATTTGAATACAAAGTATTACAGCAGTATTATACGTGTTTATATGGATAGTTGTAAATTTACCTTATGCCACGCCCTCAATTCTTGTCTGCTACTTCGCATATTATAATATAAAAAAGGTATAAAGAAATAAGATATGTATTATGTTTTATAATAGTATCAGAATTTACATATTAAGCACAAGTTTCAAGTGATCCCAAACGTTATTTTCTATAATTTGCCCCGGGGAGTAAAAAAATTATCTAGATTAGTTAGGTAGTTTAATTAAACAGGTTATCAAAATTCCAATAAAAGATAGAAAGAAAATTAATTTTTTCTTTTTACAAAAATTATACAGGCGAATGGTGTTTTTTAATATTAATTATACTTTATAGGCTTATCAATTATACCCTTAAATACTCGCGTTTATGGGTTGGTGTACACCACCTTGGTCCTCATCATCAGTGAAAAATCGCGCAGAGTAATATTTTTATATCTTTTTTTCTTACAAACGTAGATGTTAAAAACGAAAACTAAAAATACTGAAAAACTGTGGTAGCATATAATAGACAGTATAGTACGACTACTAAATTATATGTTATTTTTTTACGTTATCTTATGACGGATAAGATTCATATATTATACCTGTTCAATACCCTGTAATGCAGTACATATATTATACATTTTATCAGTAGCTATATAATATACTGTATAGCATAATACGAATATATGATATGCTTATTACTTATTAGTTATTATACACTTTTTCATTACTTAAAAAAAAATGTGGACAGAGTAGAATAATCTATATTAGTCTCTGTTTAAATGAGATTTTACAACAATAAATCAACAACCATTATCATGATCCCCAGACCCCAATGCACAAAAATTAAAATACCTAATACTTTACTGGTGATGGTGAACTTGAATACATTAAATTCTAATTGGTTTAGTTTTTAAAATGATTTAATATGTGTATAATGGTTTGGATTCAAAATTATTTATTAATATATTTTACATAAATAATCATATAATGAAGATGGACGCTGAAAATAATTTTAAAATTTTAAAAGAAATGGCATAATTCTATAAACTGCATTACTATGTACTAAACGGATTATTAAGTTGAATTTTTAAATTTTAAATTATTTATTTATTTCAATAATAGTCGAAGAATAGTAAGTACTTAAATACTTAATAGTTATTTTTAATTCAATAAATAACAATTGATTTAAATACTACACAGGGTTGCAAAAAAAAACATATATAAAACCAATAAACGTGATGCTTAGTTAATGATTAACAGAATACCTAAATATAGCCGTTATGTGTTTTACAAATAATTTTCTTAAACGGTATACCTATTTTAGTATCAACTAGATTATCTCAGGCGCTATTAATAAAACACCTAATTTCATGTGGGCACATCTGTGCAACTATTTCAGCGGCTATTGGTTTATAATTTATTGAACGCGACCGCCAGCGTTTTCGTTATCAAAGTGAAATGAGCCTGTTTCATTCAACTTTTTTTCTCAATCCCAGGGCAGACAAACCGGAATATATTTCATATAGGTATGTTTATATGAGAGACGCTATTCTACTTCCGGTAACCGTATTGTACTTGTATAATGACCACATGAGAACTTCCTTCTATTCACAGGTTTAGCAGTTAGTTTTACTGTTCCTACCGAATGTCTACTTTGTGGTTACTAAAAAAAACACTAATTTGAAATATATTATATACATATATTTTTTCCTATAAACGTTGATGGCATATTTAGCTATTTGTTTGCTATGCGCATATGTATGTAATCGTAGTTATTGGCGAGTGAACATCTGGCGGCCGAACAAATTCTATATGCAATAATAATAACTTTAACGTTTTGCACGAATGACATAGGCGATAAAAAACACATATGTTTTAGCCATATAGTGTGAACTATATAAATATATACTAGCAATTTATAGCTAGACATTGTCATTTGTCAAATAAAATCATAGCCAAGAATTAATATTGAGCCTTCTTGGCATCATACACTTCAAAGTCATCTTGAATAATATTTCTAAATTCTAATCACACTTAAGCAACTTTTTGGCAAATATTTCGTGATGTTTGACAAACAATTCATACAAAAACGAGTAAAAAATATTGTATTTTATGTTAACCATAACATTTGATTGAAACTTTAATAATGATTTAATTTATTGTGACCGATTAATCGGTAAGGTATTTGATTTTGCTAACCAAATCTATTTTTGGAAATGATTCTAGATAATATATTATACATATAACTAAAAAAAAAAATGTTTTATTTTTCAATAAATTCTTACCTGTACAGCGCTATTCAGAAAACAATTATTTTGTCCCGGTCCGTTAAGTAGGCCTTTGGTGTAAGCCATTGAATCCCTCGAAGGCGGCATTTTTATCTTTATTTTTTGATTTCCTGTGAACATCAAAGATTATATTGGGCTTAAGTATATCAAGTATAACAATATTAAGGTTCATTACAAACGAGCATTGAGCAATAATGATTCCCATCATATTTGTAAAACGCATAGATCGTGGCTATTCCTACTGAAGGAATTTATGTGAATACAATAACTAAATAATTACAACACGCTGTTTGCAGTCTATTGTCAAATTCCTATGTAGGATATTCGTGCTAGTGTCATTACCCATCTCGGAATCCTAGCGTTAAACGCCAATCGCATAGTGTAAGCCGATGTAAATTAATACGTCATTTTCTGTATCGTAGTTTTTATAAATGAAAGTATGGTATTGGGTTATATAGGTAATAAAATAAGAAAAATATATTTGAACACTACAAAAAAAACTACTGTGATTGTACCCGACGTACCTACGTTTAGATTGTGTTCGGAATAACTAATGGTTGCAATACCTATGTTTTTCCTTCTAAAGACAATACACAAAGACATGGCGTACGCCTGTTTATTTTTATGGAGATATTGTTATTTATTTTAAAAAACACAATTCTTATGCTGGTGTTATCGGGAGACGGGAGTTCTTTTTTAAAGACAGTGAATGGGAGTATATAGGACTTGTATAGACTACTGATGATGGTGCATACTTGAAAACACGGGACACGTCTTGGTCATGGAAATCAAACGATTACTAGCACAACAAGTATACAGTGTTGTACTTGTACCTACCTATTTTTTTACATAAATATTTTAGGTTTAATGGATATAATTAGTAGGAAATTTATCTTAAACAATAATTTTCGGCTATTGTAGAAATACAATACCGACATCCTGCAAATAATTTGATTTATATAAATGTACAACATCTGTGGGTACTTTATAATATATAAATACAAAATAACTAAGACTATGTTTTAAAGTACGGTTATACTTATAAGCTTATCTTGATCCGAACAAAAGTCTGATTAAGAAGTAGGCGTGTCGAAACAAATAATTGTCTCCTTTTTAATATTGTGAACTAGTTATTTAATGACACGGCAAAAACTTTTTTGATTTGACAGTTATTGTGTCTTTAATTTTTTGTCATCCTTGTTAAAATATATTCCAGTCACAATTAGATACCCAGTAATCATTTTTTGGACAATTTTTAGTTTCGAAATAAAATTATTATGTTCAAAACGACGTACATATAAAGAAAAGAGTAAGAAAAACTGGTTTAGTAATTACACAAGATTTGGCTTGTGCCGGGTTAAATTTCAATTTCAATTCATTAAAATTCATGATTTTAGAGAAAAATAACCAGTTGTAAAATAATGATAAATGGATATATATACAACTCACTTGGTTTACGCAAATACACATAAACACCAGTACACCACCCTATAACTATTTAGATTTATTAATTGGCGATTAAGATTTAAAAGTTAACGAATTGATAGAATAACCGGTATGTTGAAAATATGTATTAGGTTAGGCAGGCACTACACGTATGATTAGATTATATTTCAATATTTTATTCTATAACATGTAAATATTTAAAAAATAATGATAAAATAGTTGGGTAATGGTACCTATAATAAAAAATATTATTTAAAATTAATAATTAAATGTACATACAAATAATGACTTATATAAAATTTGAATTCAAAATCGTAAAAAAATAAGGTATTGTAATGCAAAGAGGATATTAAATTTCAAACCTTCTAAATGTTTTGAAAATAATATAAAGTTTCATATATATTTATTATAAAAAATTGAATAAATTCACTCAAAGTTCAAAAAAAACTAGTTACAAAAATGTATTCTCATATTTTCATAAACAATAAACGAACAATGAACCGGAACAGATTGTGTTCAGCAATGTTTACACGTCTTATTCATATAATGATGAGGAATGACAACCCGAAGACACCGTTATACACGCTGGTATAATATCGTGTAAACATTCCATAGACAATAATATTGTTTCAACTTTCAACATCGTCATATTAAACATCGTTATTATTATATTATTTTTGTTATAAAGTTTACATAAGTTAATATATTTAAGACTTATGTGCATTTTGTTAAATTTAAACACGTACGTTTCACAAGAAAGAAAACATCATTCAAAGATTTCATTTTCAACAGGTTATAATATTTACAAACACAATCTTCCCTTTTTAATAACTTTTAATGATACAATAAAATATAAACGGATACGATGACGACATTTTGAATGGTTTTTGTTAGTTTATTTGTTATTGTATTTGCTCATCCGTATAGGTAGGTACTCTGGAGTCTGGATAGCCATTACTCATTAGTCATTAGTTTCGCTAGATGGACGTCAATGTCACGCAAGAGTCCGTTACTATGAAAATCAGGTGTGTTAAATATCCACAAATTAATAATTCGCTAACATGTGCAACGATAATGATAAATATACCTAGATGAAACACTAAAACTGAGCATTCAAGCAGTAAAAATGTACGATGATAAAAGTACAATTTTAAAATGGTTGAAGTATAAATAATATATTTTATAAAATTGTATTATCCAGAATATTATTTAATAACATACACGATTCACTTATTGTATAAAACAAACTGCCACAATAATTTGATTTTAACTTTGTCTTAAGAGATTATGACGTATAATACATCATAAATGTTAATTTGTGACTAAACCTTTATTAAGGAAAAATAATTTTCAAGGCTTATATTATTTGCAATGTCAATACCATATTGGATAAAAAATGTTTCACAATAGGCAAACTATTTAATCACTAAGTAGATTATTTAATCATCCTGGAAGCGATCATGGTTTTTTCAAATAATAAATTATTAGTTTATAATATTTGTTAAATGATGTATTTTATAAAGAGTAAAAAGTTACAATATAATTTATACACAGACACAACAATTAATTTTTAAATTTACATTTCTTGTTTCATGTAATTACAACACTGTTTTAAGCAATTTAAGCATCAAATCAAGAATATAAATATTAATAGAGTGCAGTACAATTAATGAGACATAACTTATTAATAAGCTATCTATAGGTATACAAACCAAATAGATCAATCAATACCTTGCTAATATTTTAATATTTTATAACAGGCCGTACAATATAATTTATTTTATAGTTTTATGTACAAAAAACCTATGATTTTCAACCCTTTACAAAAAATATATTGACTGTTATTATTTATAGTAGGCAACCGATTAAAAAACTTTGTTGTATAGTGTATACTAATTTTGTAATTAACGAATATTAAAATACTATAAAATCATTAGCAATTAACCTATTGTAATTAATTATAATATGTAGGTATTATTTATGAATACTATAGTATGAAACATTGCATGTATTTATTTGATGCCATATTGATGTATGTAATTTAATTATTTAAGTATATGAGTTTCATTTATCATTATTTTTCGAATAACCCTGTGAATAAAGTAGTAAAATCGATTAAATGATATTTTGAAAGCTCAATCTCCCATGATGCTGAGGATCTTCGATCTTGTATCAATAAATAAATAAAAAAAAAATTAATACTCTAACTACCCATAAATCACCAATTGGTCATTTCTCCCCACATGTTTTTCTTCCTTTTATCACATACTATTGCTGACTGCTGTATAACTTTGTATAAAATGCATATTATCATGTCTAAAAAAAAAAAAAAAATACTTATGTATGAAATCAGTAAGAAGTAACCACCTTTTTACTTCTAAATATTCACGCTTAATAGCTATAATGTTAATCTCACTCGAAATTGATAAGCATATAAACTATTAAAAACCGGCGGACGGTTTGGCGAAATCGAGGATAGGGCGACCTACATTAAAAAATGCGGCCTCAGCATCGCCTGGAGATACATACAGCCGCTTGGCACACCAAGGAACGGAATGGATTATGCAAGTAGCACACATACGAGTATACGACGATAACTATGTTTTCATATCTTGATTTTAGATGCAATATACGAGTAGCTATACATAAGGTTTCACTAGAACGTACTGACATAAGACATAACATATGAAAACACGTAGTAAAATGTATTTAACATTTCCTCGTACAGGCGGCATCACAAAATGTGAAATATGGAAGCTATCATTACTATTTTGCTTGTCACCTTCTATACAAATCTTACGCCAAAAATGATCGAGAAATCATTTGATCCCCGGGGTTAATAATAATACGTCACCCCGACACTTCGAAATCCAACAGTAATCGTTTAATAAGAAAAATTGAATGTGTTCAATTTACTACAAGAACATTAGTATGAAACCTAATTTGAAATTAAAATCCGGTCATTTAAAGCTGTTCATTTTACAGTCATTTAAATGATATTAACAGACAAAGAACGGTCTTCTACCGAAATGACACACACATGAACGAACTGACTTTGATCAAACGATACCAATTTATTTCCAAGACAATGATAATTTGTTATACCCTAATTTATGTTATAAAGATACACTACCTATTAGTTATTACTTATTACTATGCGTAGACAACAAAAATACCTATAGGCTATATCCAATCACAAAATAGTAATGACGAAAACAATTTCAAACATTTATGATTTATATATTATGTTAAACTATGTTATAATGTATATTATGTTTTTGGTATATTTTATATATTTTATAGATAAGGTATTTTTTTTATTGTTTTTAGCAGTTAGTTAAAAATATAAATGCGCTTATTTCATAAAATTATCTCTACATAATGTTTTATAAATCAAAAGAAAAATAATAAATATAAAAAATATATGTTTCATCATTTGAACTGATGTATAAAGTAGATACTACAAAGAAATATGATGGATATAAATCATAATATTATACCTCATATTATTATATTATACAGATATTCGGAACATAATATAAAAACAAATTGAAATGATCTTACAATTTTATCTGACTTTTTCACTTGTTCAATATAAGGCATGGAGTTTTTACATTTTACGACCATTACGGCTGAACAGACAACCGTATATCTTATTATCTAGAATTCGGGTAGACGTAAATTATTGTTGAATATTTTCAAAACGTGATATTTGAACTTACGTGACTGAACACTGGGTGAACTGTATTAAAAATGAATATTGTAATCCTGGAAACAAACTCCTGAACAGGTACCCCCATTGAAGGTACCTATACTTCATAGTCGGTAGAGGTAATAATGGTTTATAGCATTAGACAGGGTGGTTGTTCACAAAATCACGTAAGTATATGCCTTTATGTATTTTTTTGGATATCCTGCTGTGTCCGACATGGTCCAAAAATTTTATTTTCAACGATATTATATATTTTAGCGAAAAGTATGGTAGTATCAGATAGTATTTAATAGTATAGAGAACCGATCCCTAAACATCTTAAAAAAAACTGAATATAATAAACACACGTCCTGTATATACTATTTTCTACGGACAGTACTTCACGAACCACGTTTCTTTTAAAATGTATTGTGATTAAAAGACAACTGTAACTAAAAACAAAATTGCTTCACCAGAAAGTTGGTAAATAAACAATACTAACTCGACTAATTCACTTAAATTTTGTAAATATCCTTATTTTTATATTTTATACACGATATCAATTGAATTTGTACATTGTTTAAAAGATTACATCGATATTAGGTACCTAAGTACTGCAATTGATTATAAATAATACTAATTATAATCAATGGAACTACAATTAAATAATATTTAGTCTATATTGTATTGATGCACAAATCTATTGAGTTAGGTACACAATACTTAACACAAGAGCCTAATTGATTTTTTTCTCAAAACTATACAAGAAATTTCAATATATTAACCGCATTAAGTACACAGCACATAAGTATATTATATTTATGTTTAACCAAGACCCACCAATTCAATCCGGATAATTCGCACAATTATTGGGTACCGCGAAAAATGGAATGAAATTTGCGAAAATAATGAACATTAGACAGCTGTAGAAGTCACTGAAACCTTTAATGGAAACTAATTATTGGGTAGGTACTTGGGTAGGATTTAATTAGTAAATAGTAGGTAATGGGCATTAGGCATATAATGTATAAATGCATAAACGTGTAGTTGTGTACAGAAAAAATGTTAAAAATGCATTGATTTGATACATTGATAATTATTGCAATTAATTGATGATAAACTGTGTCTCGCGTACAATACTATAAATGATTATTATACCTTATTATGTTTTCAAACTTCTGTAACCAGCTGTTGATCATTGTCGATCAGCAATCTACTTCTACTATAGTAATGTATAGTACTGAAACTATGTACATTGTAGGTGCCTAAATGTCAATCGATATATTTTAGTGTAATAAACATTCAAAACAATTTTCTGCTTGAGTTGCAAATGGAACAGTTGTAAACGATAAGTTTCGGGTAGACAAGTGCCAAATGGTAATTGAAGTACTTTGAGAGAAACGCCAGTCTCCAATACAGGAAAGAGTGCATGACCACGCGGATCGCGTTACGTTTAGCGAACCCTCGATGGATTGACATTATATTAGATATAATTACATATTATATCGATACCACACAGACATTGTACTGGTATTATCGTTATCTTTAGGGTAAGTCCATAGATCCGAGTTAATCAAATCTCACACGCAAAATATGCGTTACCCGAAAAGCACAGCTTTCTATGTACGAGGTTTGCTATAGCAGGAGAGTCGTAGCCCCACTTTTGTTTTGTAAAAAAACCCTTTAGGTACAACTATCTTAAGAAGACCGTATAATATATCTATTATATACCCTCTCAAGAACCAAGATTGACATCTATATATTATATTATCATTTATTGTAGTTGTACTCACTCGTCAATGCAGGTAAGCCATGATGTTATCTGGAACGATATTTTGCTATGTGTCTATATGATGGATAATATTCCAATAAGATCACCGTTTTCACCACACACGCGAAAATAATATTTATAAATAAAGGTAAAGTAATAATGCGTATGAAATGTAGTCTAGTATGAGCACTGAAAGTTGTTATAGCGGCGCGGCGGTAAAACTTTCGAACGGCATTCGTACGACGACACAACAGACGCAACGAACACACGACATGATGGACGATCTCCAACTGAACGTGGCGAACGTCGAGAGCGGCGGCGCGCTTACCGCTGTTACCAGGTCGGTTGGTTTGGTGGGGGTGGCGGCGGCGGTGCAGCCGGTGAGCGGTAGAAGGCTGAACTCGTTTCGACTATGAGGTTACTACCTGCTGCCGCCACCGTCGCTGTGACGACGCACGACGGTGTTAAAGACGGCGGTTGTTGTTATTATTATTATTATTATTATTAGGTGTACCAGGTATATCTCGGCTATAATACGTATATTAAAACAACCTACTGCTGCTTCGACGACCTGAAATCCATGAGCTGCAGCCCAGCGGTTTACACTCGTTTTAAGAATTACATATTATAGCATACATACGATCTATAGGTATTAGGTATAGGTATCTAAGTATCTTCACCTATATAATACACTGCATTCCGATATCGATCTTCGAACCACCGCGACTATCACCGTCGATCGTGCTCCAAGGAAGCATCGATCACCACCCCCCGGTCAGCTTTTCTTTGCCACCAGAGTTTTCACAATTTTTTCGCATTCCAAAAGTAACTTTTTTCGGTTTCGCTATTTATCCATACGTGTCGAACACAATATAAAGGTATGTACCCTCAAATCGAGGGCATAAAGTATTAACGTATTATTGACATGTATGTAATATGTATTACGGAGCAAAACTAAAATCAATAATCATTTAATATTTGTATCCATATTCAGTTAATATAGTATCACTGCATAACCACTGTATAATTCACTCAACTTATAAGAAAAACAATTATTTCTGTATCCTATTATCATTATTAACGATATGTCCGTCACTCTGAATACATATTTGTTCATTACCTACACGGCTACTCCGTATATTGAGTGTAAGTTAATAGGTTTGAAATTGAAGACAAATGTATAGCGACTCTCGTATAGTCGTATGCTACATTATTCTACAGCCCCTACTATATAAAATTATAAAACGTTCGTGTATCTATATAGGTATACATACTTTAACACCGTTTTTAGTTTAGGTACCACATAACATATTTGATTAATTCGGGTCTCCGCAACTAGGTGATGCGGTCCGCTATCATATTCTATCAACGTATCCGCCTATTTGCACTGTGGCTATTGGTCTTAATTTAAATATTAATCAAACACAACTATTGCACGTCACACTGCAGATGCCACTCCACCGCACGCTTGATATTAACTTATAATAATACATACCAGTAACACGTACCTACCTAGCTATTATAATATTATACTATAACACTATTATATTATAGTCATTATAATGTACAGACTCTGTAGTATCTAGGACACCACACATATTATAATCTTTCAAGAAGTATAAAACATACCTATATAACATATAAGGTGCCAAATTGCACAAGTACTTTTATAGTTTACAGAATGGTAAAAAAATAAAATTACATTAATTTGTAGAACATAATATAATCTCATGGATTTTAACGTTATAAAAAGTTACTTAGGAATGTAATCGTATGTTTTCGTAAATCGTAATTAGTCCATTTTCTCTGATCAAAATAATATTAGAACGTTGCGTGTTCAATGGTCATGTTTTTTTTCATCATGATCATTTTTCAAATCTTGATTCGTCTAGTCAGTTGTAGTCAAAACAAAATTTGATCGTTCAGAGATGTTTATAAATACCACCTGTAGTGCCCAAGAAAATACTATCGTGCGCAATTCTGAGTGATGGTTTATGATATACCTCCTGTCCTCCTAATTATAATAATATTTATGGGGTAACCTTGAAAAAAATTATTATTACTGTTTTAGTAAAATAAAAATAAAATAGTTGAACGCTCAAAATATATACCTATACACTCAAATTGTCTGGTACTTTATAGGTAGTAGGTCTCGCTAGAACTAAGGTCTGTCGCACGAAATAAACATAATGGTACAAAAATATTAAATATTATAAATTAATATGTTATATACCTACTACATTGAAAATAAGTATTTTTGGTCAAGTAACATTTTAAATAGAATTAAGAATTGCCTAATACTTATACCAATAACAAGACATAATACCATAGTAAAAATAAAAACAGACGTTAAGTGTTATGCACTTCAAAATTATTATTATTATGTTAGGTACCTAATATGAGTACAAGTACCTAAATACCACAGGAAGAAAACACTCTGTATAGTACTTATTCAAATTATACAGCGGAAGAATCCTGAATATTTAAATCATCAGTAAAACTTTTTTACATCTTTGTACTAAATTTATCGTACAGTCTATATGAATATAAACATAATTCTTATTTTTTTTATAAATTATCAATATTGCTTATAACTTTTTAGATTCTTATCGGCTATCATCTTTGCTTTTGTTTTGATTTCTGATTTAAATCTTAAATGTTTCAATACTTTTATAGTTCTATCAATAAAATATAGTGCCTATTTGTATTCAATAATATATATTATTATTTGCTATTTACTAGAAAAAATATATTTAACTTTTTCTATAAGTAAAATATGTGCCAAACATCGATTTATATATGTAAAATCAAGGATCCTCATAACTCATAAGTGGTTCTTGTAGAAACCTAAAAATCTTAGAAATACAAACGAACAATTGTTTTTACAGACATTTCAAGACTCAAGTTAGTATTTCGATACAATTGGGTATTTTAAAGCTAAATAACGATTTTAGTAATTTTGTTGTAATTCAAAAAATATTATTGGACTTAAAAATTTCCGTTTCTAATTACAAATGTCGGATTTCTTGAAAAATCGATTAATTAAATGCTCAAATAAAATTTAATGGGCCAATCATAGCCCATGGCTCACTATAAATCATGTTTGACCATTAGTTCACTATTTAAAATTCGTTAAATGCTCAGTGATTGTTTATGGAACTCGACATGAGGTTATTATTATTTACCATATACACATAATTTTCGAAATATTTAGTTTAATTTCAAGCAATTTATACCCAGTGCTCGATTTGGGCGAGAAAGAACGTAAGGTGACGATGGGCCTTAATACATTTTTCAGAAATGTTACTTTTCCTATTTCTTTTTAAGCGAAACGGTATGGGACGGTACATATCTTTGAATTTCTATCAAAATGCTCATATACTGGATAAAATCATTTATCTTGTTGATTATTCTATTAAAAATTAATTATTTTCGTGATTTAAAAAAAAATTATTATTATTATAGCCAGCAAGCTAGCTGATGTATAAGGTTGGCAATAACTGCATAGTTCTATAAATTATTAAATTATAATATTAATTATCAGTTATCACTGTTATGACTTATCACTTATGGCTAGCAAGAAAATTACATTGGAAAATACAGTATGTAATACTTACCGTAAAATAAGAAGAAAAAATTAAAACAAGGTATTTGGAATAATAGGGTTGATGGAGACTGGTAAATTCAAGTTGGTTAGTGATTGATGGTTTTGTACAATCGTCAATCATATCCTTCATTTGGTCGAGAAGTTTTAAAGATGGATTCGAAGATTGATTGGGACAGTAGCATATTATAATAAGAATAAATATAATTAATCAATTAATTAATCCATATTAAAAATGTATCATACGGACATCTATTCCAATTTGGTTAGTCAAAATTTAATGATTTGAACGAATACAATGCTTCATTTATGAATTTATAATCTAATATAAATTGTGTATAATAAAAAAAAAATAATTAATCAATTGACATAAACATAACGATAAACATACCATGTATAATTTTATTGTACTCATTTTTAAAAAGTCAACCGAATTCGGAATTGGCTGAATTGTATACATATTCCCAATTGGTTATAAAAATGTATAAGGATCAGATAGCAATATAAATATGTATAGTAAGATTTCCATATTATAATCTATCATTGAATTCAAATTTAACACATCTATTACAGTGATATATACTCAATGGCGAGGTACACTTGATACCTGTATACTTCAGCAGACCAACATTAGCAGTTTTTTGAAATGATAACATTGGCGTAAAATAGTGCTAAAATACAAAAATAGCCAAATAACATCAAAACATACAAAAATATGTAACCAAAAATTTCATGTTTTTACTTATTGCCTATGGGTTACTTAAACATATTGACAAATTATGTATCTCTAGACTCCAGAGCCTAGGACAACTCAAAAAAAAAATAATGTACAAATTCTACAATCTAGTCATGATTATTACACTTATTTTAATTAAAATAGTTTTTATCGAGCAGCTTAATAAATACGAGTTAAATAGATTTATTATTGATAAAGAAAATGTTAGATAGATACTTGTCTTTATTTTAAGTAATGAAATAATATCAATACTATCCAACATTGTCATAAAGAGGTGATATATGATACGAAGAACGAAGGTCGTAAATTGAATTGTTAGGTATTTCTATGAACGTAATTTGAGGAGTACAAATCTGTATCGTATTCGATAAATTATACTTATTCTTTACACTTAGAGATATTGTGGGCACAAGCATAAATTAAAATATTGTTTTGAAATAAAGTACAAATATTTTCTGTGCTTACATAAAGATGTGTTGAGCCATTAAGTTTAAAAATAAGACCAAACATATTTAAAACCAAAACAAAATATACCTAAACGTTATTTAAAATTAAAATACAATTTAACGAATCAAATACGTTTTTAAATATATACATAGAACGTTTTATATTAATTATAAAAGCGCAATTTTGTTTAATAATATTGGCTATCGCTTGCTGCGTTATATAATTATACAGGTAGGTACCTAGGAATCATTCATATTCATATTTCATTTAGATTCTTAGTAAATCTAGGGAACTATTGCCTATAATTGGTATTTGGATTTACTAAATATTATTGCTTAATTTTAACGGAAAAGTAGAAAATATTATTATGAAATACTATAATTATTGTACTTGCTTGTATAGAGTTCGTATCAAATGGAGATATTTTTTATAAATTCTCTTAAATTGTTCAGATAATCAGAAAAACAGTCAAATATCCACTATGATTCGAAGAAATATCTAGCAC